AATATCCTTTCCTTTCTACTATGTATAGAAGATAGTAATTTTAAAAAGGTGCCAACCCTACTCAAAAAACTTAAAGTTTCTGTACATGTGAAGGCCATGCACTTTCATTTGGTATCTAACTTTTTTATCCAACGAAAGGTGAAGATCTTATAGCTTTTAAACAGGTGGCAACCCTACTCAGAAAAATAATACATTATTACACATCCAGAGGCTACGTCTTTTCATTTGACAGTGATGGTGCAGAACTGACGCCTACGCTTATTAGAATTGAATTTAGTAATTTTCTTAAATGGCGGCAACCCTATTAAAATTCTACATTAAAAATGTCACTCTCCTATCGATACAGAATATATTAGAGAAAATCTGTTCAGTAGTTTTCGAGATTACCGCGTACAAAAAATCTCGACTTTCCTTTATACTATGTGTTTGGGCACAAAGGTCACATCGTAGTTTTGTGCAGCACTGTTCCACTGTACCAACCAAGGCGAATTCGTGATCGCATTGCGCTCCCCATCAGACACGTACATATGTATATATACTAGGGCGGGTCAAATTTTTTGCATCAAAGGCACATCGCTATTCTTGTTATTTGGGTAATTTCAAGCATTTTTGCCCAACAAACCATACGTCTAAAATGAATTTCGAGCCAGCGATTTTTATCATTCAGTTTTTTTTCAAAAAGTGGCCCAAGTTTTTGAACAGCTGTATTGAAAACTAGCCAAAATGTGTATCTAGAGGTTTTTGTAGTCGCGGACTCCATTTCTGACAATACTTTTTTCTTTTGAGGGCCGCCAGAGGGCGCTTCCGTACTTTTTTTTTGGATTTTACCGCCTTTTTTCCGAAAATCGACAACATTTTTGCGAAAATCCACGAAATTTGACTTTCTTATAATGCAATTTCAATTTTTAAATAGCCTAAAATATACAGCGTTGAAAATTAGGGGAAAGGGAGGTGTATTCATGCACAACTTACATCGATTTGATTAAATTTAGGACAAAAAATTCGTTGGTTTTTTCACTTGTTCTCTGTATTTTACAAAACAAATATTTTTCGTATTTTATTCTAATTTTCTTTATTCAAAATCTCAACTTAAAACATAAAAACATATTAA